TCAAGCGATTCTCCTGCCTCAACCTCCCAAGTAGCTGGGATTACAGGCGCCTGCCACCATGCCCGGCTAATTTTTGTATTTTGAATAGAGACAGGGTTTCACCATCTTGGCCAGGCTGGTCTTGAACTCCTGACCTCATGATCTCCCTGCCTCGGCCTCCCAAAGTGCTGGCATTACAGGCGTGAACTACTGCACCCAGCCTGCCTGCCTGCTTTTAAGATTCCTGCCCTCTTTCTTCTTTCTAACCCCAGACACATAACTTCATAATTGCAGTACCCAGTACTATCCCCACATTGCCATTGACCCCATAGAGCCACTCGAGGAGAGAACAAATCATGCTGTGCGCGTTGCACATGGTGAGAACCATCCAGTTCTGCCCCCAGTCCTCTGCTGCTCTCAGAGCTGAAGATTTCCACTGCAGTAGAGGAGGGAGCCAGCCTGTGCCTCAGCATCTTGTCTTGGGCACTAATAGGAAAGAACTGGGAGAACTCCCCGTTCCAAGGGCAGTGGCTTTGTCTCTCCCCTCCTTCCCTCCCACCAAGAAGTGCCAGGGAGAGCAATCCCTGCCACTCTCAGGGCAGCCTGAGTTTCTTTCTGGATGAGTTAAAAGCACCCTTTTCTCTTTTGACCAGATACACAGGATGCATTCCCAGGACACCAACGGAAAAAAATGTAACAGGGTTACAGATGATATTCATGGCCACTAGCTAAAGAGTTAATTCTCCCCACCTTCAGATTTTCAAACATTCCTCTTCACAAGATTACCCTGTGAGGCAAAATAGGGTGGGTATTGTTATCCTGGTTTTGCAGACAGAGAAAAAAGTCAGATAGGAAATGGTAAAGTCAAACTTAGCCCAGACCCTCTGGTTTCAAGCCCACTCCACCCTACCACATCCTCACAGGGGAAGGAATGTGAACTTAGGAGTCATTGAGCACGTTGCCCCAGAGACACAGCAAGGCGGAAGCCTGAATGCCAGATACTCTATGGGGTCCTTAATCTCATCCCAGCCAGGACTCTCCCCACCAAACCTGCACTCGCCTGTCATGGTGGCTTCCCGGGGCGGCATGGAGTTTGAGCCAGACATGATACTGCCTGTGCCATGACCTTATTTCTCCCTCCAGTGAGTCTGGAGTCCCGGTCCTCAGTGGCCAAGTTTCCAGTGACCATCCGCCATCCTGTCATACCCAAGCTATACGACCCTGGACCAGGTAAGGCCCTTGTCTTTGGGGCTCCATGGTGGCACCCTGTGAAGTTATTGGTGAACTTCAGAAGGGATCACCTCTGAGACAGAGGATAATTGATCAAAATGACAGCTCTGATATGCTCCCTGACAAGCTTTGTTGGGAGGAAAAAACTTCTAGGACACAGTCCCCTAAAATTGCTTAATGATATTTAACTTATTTTGTGGTTGTGTGCTAGTTTTGGGAAAGAAAAGCCAATGAATTACAACATTTTAGTAAGTAATAATAATAAAAAGAGTGGTACTGAATCAAATTGGAAATCCAGATATAAACCCAGTACATGTTGGAATTTCACTGTGTGATAAAGACAACTTGTCTGGCTGAGCGCAGTGGCTCACGTCTGTAATCGCAACACTTTGGAAGGCCTAGGTGGGCGGATCACCTGAGGTCAGCTTTCAAGACCAGCCTAGCATATGGTGAAACTCCACCTCTACTAAAAATACACAAATTAGCTGCGCATGGCGGCGGGCGCCTGTAATCCCAGCTACTCGGGAGGCTGAGGCAGGAGAATCTCTTGAACCTAGGAGGTGGAGGTTTCAGTGAGCTGAGATTACGCCACTTCACTCCAGCCTAGGCAATAGAGCAAGACTCTGTCTCGAAAAAAAGAGAGAGAGAGAGAGACAGCTTGTCAAATTAAAGGAGGGCAAATGAACAAATTAAAAATGGGCTTTTCAAAAAATTATGTGAGATAATGGTGTAGCTATAAGAAAGATAAAAAGTTGAATCCAAGTGTGATGGCACCTGTAATCCAGCTCACACCTCTAATCTCAGCTACTCAGGAGGCAGAGATGGGAGGGTGGCTTGAGCCTGGGAAGTTGAAGCTGCAGTGAGCCACAATCACCACTATACTCCAGCCTGTGCAACGGAGCAAGACCCTGTCTCAAAAAAAATTAACAATTGAAAAATAACTTTTAAATTAGAAGTAAAACTTGAATCTATGCCACAGTTCATACCAAGATAAATTCCAATTGGTCAGATATCTAAATACGTTTTAAAGTACTAGAAAAAAAACTTGTAGTTTAAAAGTCAGCCAGGTGTGGTGGTGTGCACTTGTAATCCCAGCTATTGGGGGGCTGAGGCAGGAGAATCATTTGAACCCTGGAGGCAAAGGTTGCAGGGAGCCGAGATCCTGCCATTGCATTCCAGCCTGGGCGACAGGGCAAGACTCTGTCTCAAAAAAAAAAAAAAAATTGTAGTTTAAAAAGTAATCTTAGGGTATAAGGCATGACACAAAACTCAGAGACCATAAAGAAAAAATTAAAAATATAAAATATATAAAATTTTATATATTAAAATTAGCAAATTTTAATAAGTAAAGTCATATAACAAACGACAAATTGGGAAAAAATCTTTAATTCACGTTAAAGACAAAGGTCTAATTTTACTTAAGGGCATCTATGGGCCGGGCGCGGTGGCTCACGCCTGTAATCCCAACACTTTTGGAGGCCGAGACTGGCGGATCACGAGGTCAGGAGATCGAGACCACCTGGCTAACACGGCGAAATCCCATGTCTACTAAAAATACAAAATATTAGCCAGGCGTGTTGGCAGGTGCCTGTAGTCCCAGCTACTCGGGAGACTGAAGCAGGAGAATAGCGTGAACCCGGGAGGCGGAGATTGCAGTGAGCTGAGATCACGCCACTGCACTCCAGCCTGGGGGACAGAGTAAGACTCTGTCTCAAAAAAAAAAAAGCATCTATGAATCAATAAGAAAGTAACACCCAATAATGGCCGGGCACGGTGGCTCAAGCCTGTAATCCCAGCACTTTGGGAGGCCGAGACGGGCGGATCACGAGGTCAGGAGATCGAGACCATCCTGGCTAACACGGTGAAACCCCGTCTCTACTAAAAAATACAAAAAACTAGCCGGGCGAGGTGGCGGGCGCCTGTAGTCCCAGCTACTCGGGAGGCTGAGGCAGGAGAATGACGTGAACCCGGGAGGCGAAGCTTGCAGTGAGCTGAGATCCGGCCACTGCACTCCAGCCTGAGCAACAGAGCGAGACTCCGTCTCAAAAAAAAAAAAAAGTAACACCCAATAATGGAAAAATGCGCAGTTCAGAAAAAATTAAATTCAGCAACACTTTTAGCCATTAAAATATATGCCCACTCTCACACTGAGAAAAGTGCATATGAAAACTACTTTCACATCAAAAAGGTTTTGGACAGGGCTGGGAAAACAGCATATCAATTGTAGTTAGGTATGCAAATTGGCACCTCTCTGGAGGCAATTTGGCAATACCTATCAACATTTTAAATGTGTTTAAATGTTTAAATATCCTTTAGGCCGGCAATTCCATTTCTATAAATTATCCTACAGATATTAATATATGTGTGAAACGACATTTGTTTGAGGTTATTTATTGCAGCACTGTTTGCAATGACAAAAAACAGAATGGGCTGGGCACGGTGGTTCACACCAGTAATCCCAGCATTTTGGGAGGCCAAGATGAGCAGATCACTTAAGGTCAGGAGTTCAGGATCAGCCTGGCCAACATGGTGAAAACCCATCTGTACTAAAAATCCAAAAAATCCAAAATCGGGCATGGTGGTACATGTCTGTATTCCCTGCTACTTGGGAGGCTGAAGCAGGAGAATCGCTTGAACCTAGGAGGCGGAGTTTGCAGTGAGCTGAGATCACACCACTGCACTCCAGTCTGGGTGACAGAGCCAGAACCTGTCTAAAAAAAAGGGGCAAGAGGGTGGCACAGGGGGAGGGTTCTGGAACAACTGCTGTCCAAACGACTTCTGATTTTTGTCATTCTAGGAAAGTGGCTCTGTGTACTCACCCACTAACAGGTAGGGTTGTGGCTTCCAGCATGCATTAACTCCAGCTGGCCCCATGCCATGCAGACACAGGAACTGCACAGTCCGGTGCCAGTTCTCCGTTTAGTGGCTGAATCCCAAACACACCTGCAGCTCCAGTTGTGACGTCATGGGGTCTTTTCCGTAGGAAAGCTGTCCGCTCTCCAGTCTCTTGTACGTCACATGCCTTAAGATAGACAATTCGGTCCAGGCCTTGCAATCTCCAAGTAAACGTATTTCTAACCGTGTCTTCCTGAGGATAGAGATCAGGTAAGCTTTTCTCTAGGAGTTGCAGATGATGGTAGAAGCAAGTCTCAAGATTTGTAGATGTTTTCTTCTCTTCCTGGGCTCCATGACCCTCCATATTGAACCCTTAGATGGGCAAAGCTCTGTGCATTTCAACTCCTAATATTAAGACGAAGACTGCGGAGGTTGCAGTGAGCCGAGATTGCACCATTGCATTCCAGCCTGGGCAACAGAAGCAAAACTCCATCTCAAAAAAAAATAAATAAATAAAATAAATAAATAAATAAATAGCAGATCACAAGTGAAGTGCTAACAGGCAGGAGGTGTAAAATAAAGCATTCAGACAGACAGTTGGGAAATGACATAGTGGAACCAACAGAACCAGGAAATGCAACAAATTGGGTATGTTGTAAATGTCTTTATTTTCTAATGCAACTAACAAACTCTTATTAAGCACCTCCTGGGTACAAGAGGCATGAGACCCACAGACACTGACAGGTTATGGCAGAAATAAGCCATCGGATCAAAGCAGGAAAAGACAGTGAAGCTTCCTACAGGACAGAGCTCTGACACCCACTGTTTTCTGCCCAGAGAGGAAGCTCAGAAACCTGGTTACCATTGCCACCAAGACTTTCCTCCGCCCCCACAAGCTCATGATCATGCTCCGGAGTATTCGAGAGTATTACCCGGACTTGACCGTGATAGTGGCTGATGACAGCAAGAAGCCCCTGGAAATTAAAGACAACCACGTGGAGTATTACACTATGCCCTTTGGGAAGGTATGTCCCTCTCAGATTGGGGGGCACCTGCATTCCAGGACAAGAGGGCCCCAGGGTCAGGTTCCACCCTGGATGGGGCCGCTTCCTCAAGGGTCTTCCCAAGAAAGCAGGGTCCAGGAGTAGGAGTGGGTGAGGGCTGTCCTCTGAGTCCCCTTGCTGATCAGAGAGAAATTGGTCAGCCTCACTTTTCTGCATTCAGGAGGTGGTTATTCCACCTTTCCTCATTTTTTTTTTCTTTCCTTTTTTTTTTTTTTGAGATGGAGTCTTGCTCTGTCGCTCAGGCTGGAGAGCAGTAGCATGATCTCAGCTCACTGCAACCTCTGCCTCCTGAATTCAAGTGATTCTCCTACCTCAGCCTCCCGAGTAGGTGGGACTACGAGCGTGCACCACCACACCCGGCTTTTTTTTGTATTTTTAGTAGAGACGGGGTTTCACCATGTTGGGCAGGCTGGTCTCAAACTCCTGACCTTAGGTGATCCGCCTGTCTTGGTTTCCCAAAGTGCTGGGATTACAGATGTGAGCCACCATGCCCAGTCTCTCATTTCTATTTTTTTATTTTTCATTTTTTTGAGATGGAGTCTTGCTCTGTCACCTAAGCTGGAGTGCAGTGGTGCAATCATGGTGATCATGGCAGCCTCAACCTTAAAGTCTCAAGTGATTTTCTCACCTCTGTCTCCCTAGTAGCTGGGACCTAGTAGCATGCACCATGATGCCAGGCTAATTTTTAAAATTTTTTGTAGAGATGGGGTCTCACTGTGTTGGCCAGGTTGGTCTCGAACTCCTGGGCTCAAGTGATCCTTCCACCTAGGCTTCCCAAAGTGCTGGGATTACAGGCATGAGCCACTGTACCCTGCTCCCATCTTTCCTCATTTCTCATGTGGAAATTGATTGGGGTCCTTATAAGTGACTTGAGGTCTCTGACATCCCAAAGATTCCTGACATGTAGAGAAATCTCTCATCTCCATGATTCTACCAAAGCTAGGGTCTTGGCCTCTCTCTCCTCTTTCTCCTTGACTCTCCCTCCCCACTCTCTCTTTCTCTCTCCTTCTCCCTCTCCTCTTCCCACCCTCCCGCTCTCCCCTTCCTCTCTTTCTCCCCACTCTCTCTTTCTCTCTCTTCTCTCTTCCAACCTCCATCTCTCCCTCTCCTCTCCTCTCCACTCTCCACATCTTTCTCTCCTCCTTCTCTCCTCTTCCACCTCAACGCTCTCCACTTGCCTCTCTTTCTCCACCTCTCTCTTTCTCTCTCCCTCTCTTCTTCACACCCTCCCTCTCTCCATCCGCCTCTCTCTCTACCTCCCCGCTCTTTCTCTCTCCCTCTCTTATTCCCACCCTCCCTCTCTTCCCCTGCCTCTCTCTCTGCCTCCCTGCTCTCTCTTTCTCTTTCCCTTTCTTCTTCCCACCCTCCCTCTCTCCCCTCACCTCTCTCTCTTCCTCCCCACTCTCTCTTTCTCTCTCCCTCTCTTCTTCACACCCTCCCTCTCTCTCTCCCCCACCTCTCTCCCTCCTTGCTACTCTCTCCCTCTCTCATTTTCTTCCTCCCTCTCTCTCCCCCTTCCTTCCTCCAAGGACAAAGGAGGAAGTGAATATTATACATACCAGACGTCCCTCAAACTTGACATCTTACAGGAGACAAAAGGAGAGCCATAGAAACTGTCATGTGAAAAGGGACTTCAGCCAATTCATATAGGCCATAGAGCCAAAGAGTGACTTTCTAGCCTTTCTTTGTCTCAGTCTTTGATCCACATAGTCACTGTCCCTTCCAGACTTTCTCTGAGACATGGACTTCCTTCAACCCTGTGGTTCTCAGCCTTGGCTTTACATTGGATTCGCTTGCACCAATTCTAACGGAATTTGTCTGCAGTGCATGCAGCCTGGCCGTTGGGAATTTAGAAAGCGCCCCCAGGTGATTCTAATATGTAATATGGGCAACCACTCCTTTAACCTCATTTCATCTATAGGGTTGGTTTGCTGGTAGGAACCTGGCCATATCTCAGGTCACCACCAAATACGTTCTCTGGGTGGACGATGATTTTCTCTTCAACGAGAAGACCAAGATTGAGGTGCTGGTGGATGTCCTGGAGAAAACGGAACTGGACGTGGTAAGGGACAGTTGCCAGTTTTACCCAGCCGCAATCTGTAGAGATAGAGAAGGAAGGAGACGAGAGCGGGAAGAAATATATGAGAAGAGGAGGGGGAGGGAGGGGAGGGAGAAGGGCTGGCACAGGAGGCGAATAGGCCAGTGCAACCCAGGTGGAGAGTGCTGCACCAGCTCACGCCTCCACACTGACTTTTCTTTGAGTAAATTACAACCCCTCCCTAATTTGCAATTGTTTTCCTTTATTGGTGTGTTTATGCAGAATTTCTAACTTCCTCCATTGACTAGTATGAGATTAAAGACAGCAGCCCTCTGGTTCTGTCACACAACATTAAAAACAGTATAAATGGTACAAAGCTTTAAAAGCACACATGACATTTTTAAAAAGAATAAGAAGAAAATAATAAAAACAGCCTAGGCGTGGTGTCTCACACCTGTAGTCCCAGCCCTTTGGGAGGCTGAAGCAGGGTGATCACTTGAGCCCAGGAGTTCAAGACCAGCTTGGGCAACATGGCAAAACCTCATCCATACAAAGAAATAAAAAAAATTAGCCAGGGGTGGTGGTGTGCATCTGTAGTTCAAGCTACTCAGGAGCTGAGGTGGGAGGATCACCTGAGCCCAGGAGGTCGAGGATGCAGTGAGCTGAGATTGTGTCACTGTGCTCCAGCCTGGACGACAGAGTGATACCTGTCTCAAAAAAAGAAAAGAAAAGAATAAAAACATCAAAAGCAAATTCACTGTAGAAAAGAAAAAGGGGCATGGATGAGAAGGTAAGTGGTGTCATGACCACAGTTAACTCTACTGCAAGTGGACAATCTGCAAAACACCTAGATCAGCAAAGACATCTCTTGGCAACTCGTACAGAGACCAGATCACAATAACTTAAGAAAGAAGATGTTCCAGCTCATGTAACAACCACGCTGGCAGCTGAGCTGGCTTCAGGATCATCCTGGATCAGCTTCCTTTTCCTGTTGCTCCTCGATCCTTTGGTTCCCGGCTGCATGGTCAGGAGGAAGATGGGAAGAGGAAGTGAAGGGAGAGCAGGTTTCTTTTAAGGATGTGATGTAAACATTTCTCGCATCAGTTCTAAATCATATCCCTTCAGCCAGAACTTGGTCACACAGTGAAACCTTGCTGCAAGGGAGGTCGGGAAATGCAGTCTTTTTTTCCTTAAATAACAAATGGGCTTTTGTTTTTTATTTTTATAGATTGGGGGGCCCAGGTGCAGATAGCTTATACACATGTCTTTCGTAGTGCTGAAGTCTGGGTTTTTAGTGTACCCTTTACCCGCATAGCGAACATTGTACCCAACAGGTAATTTTTCAACCCTCACCCAGTCTTCTTTTTTCTTTTTTGAGACAGAGTCTTGCTCTGTCACCCAGGCTGGAGTGCAGTGGCACGATCTCGGCTCACTGCAGCCTCTATCTCCTGGGTTCAAGTGATTCTCCTACCTCAGCCTCCCGAGTAGCTGGGACCATAGGCACATGCCACCGTGCCCGGCTGATTTTTGTATTTTTAGTAAAGACAGGGTCTCACCATATTGGCCAGGCTGCTCTCGAACTCCTGACCTCAGGAGATCCACCTCAGCCTCCCAAAGTGCTGGGATTACTGGCGTGAGCCACCATGCCCCGCCTAACCCTCAACCACTCTTAACCTCCTACCTTTTGTATTCCCTGGTGTCTGTTATTCCACTCTGTATGCCCATGTGTACCCATTGTTTAGCTCCTGGAAATGTAGTCTTTAGCTGACTAGTTGACTATGTCATAAAACTCAGAAGGGTCATTTACTAAAAGGAAGAAGGAAAGAACAGGTGATGGGGGACAATGAGCAGACTTTACCGTGTCCCCCTTAGAAGATTATGATTCTTTCAGAGATAGATGTACTTGCTCATCTGTTGTGCTGAGGCTCAAACATGAAAATACACATCTCTTCTGTGAGTGCATGGATAGGCAGTTCAGAGAGGTAAGCCAGGAGCAGAAAATAGTAGGAAGACAACTCAAGACAAACAGCTCCCTGCAAGACATCTAACAAGTGGAAATTCCGCAAATGGACCAGTGCACACGGGCTGCCTCTTACCCATACTGCAGTACTCCTCTCCCAGTGGAAGGGAGTGAGTTACCTTCTTCTGGAAAGATAACCTTCTTTGGTCTTGGGTAAGGGCTACTCATGCCAAGGAGATTTTCTGGGGTACGCCGGAAATAAAAGAGCCCAGGGACCCAACAGTAGTATAGTGAAAGCCGTGGCCACAACAGCAAAAAGGCAGTCCCTGAGGGATAATTTGAAGGATAGATAGAGAAATAACAATTCTTGTTATAACCGAGGTGCAGTCCAACAAGGCTTCCTGGAAGAGGCAGGATGAATATTGATCTGTACTCTCTAACATGGGTTTCTCTGCCTGCTGGTTAGGTAGGCGGCAGTGTGCTGGGAAATGTGTTCCAGTTTAAGTTGTTGCTGGAACAGAGTGAGAACGGGGCCTGCCTTCACAAGAGGACGGGATTTTTCCAACCCCTGGATGGCTTCCCCAACTGTGTGGTGACCAGTGGCGTGGTCAACTTCTTCCTGGCCCATACGGAGCGACTCCAAAGAGTTGGCTTTGATCCCCGCCTGCAACGAGTGGCTCACTCAGGTGGGAAGGCTGAAAGAGTGAGGAAGGGAGCTGGGCTGGGAATTAGCTACAAAAGTTTGTTCTGTCCAAGGGCTGTACCCAGCTGGCTGATGGTGGTTGCCTGCCCAGCAGCAGTACGTCCTTTTCCCCTTTCTCCCCAGACTAGGGAGCTCTTGATCTCTCTGACCTCCCTCCTCACGTCTCTTTGACTTCCGTGTATCCTGTAGGCTGCCCTTCTTTTCCTTTCCCTTCCTTTCCCTACAGCTCTGTCTTCTTCCTCCTTTCCCATGCTGCTTCATATTCTATTTTTTCCAGAAATCCTGTCCTGTTAACTGCTCTCTCTTTCCCTCTTACTCCATCAGCCCTGGAGTCCACAGTTCTGTCCAGTTTGAAAGCCAATCTGTGCCTCTCTGCCTCTGTGCCCATATCTCTGCCTGAGAAATGAGCTTATTTATTTCCTTCCAGCTCATCAGCAGGGACAGGCTCCTAGAGTTAAGGGTGTGGCTTCACGTGGGGCTTCACAGTTCACACTCTCCAGTGTATGAACTGTGTCCTCTCCCTGGGACTCTCCCCCCTCAGACCTGGAATAGTACCCATTTTTCTGACCACAACTCCCACTTCCTTCTGCTCTCCCTCTCTTTGCAGAATTCTTCATTGATGGGCTGGGGACCCTACTCGTGGGGTCATGCCCAGAAGTGATTATAGGTCACCAGTCTCGGTCTCCAGTGGTGGACTCAGAGCTGGCTGCCCTAGAGAAGACCTACAATACATACCGGTCCAACACCCTCGCCCAGGTCCAGTTCAAGCTGGCTCTCCAGTACTTCAAGAACCATCTCCAATGTGCCACATAAAGGTGTGAGGGCATAGGAGAAACACTAGACTGGCTGGTTATGGTATCCATAGCAGGCCACCAAAAACTGGACTCCTGATAGGTGAACATTGTAGCAAACCAGCTGGTGGGTAGGGCAAAGGGAAATGGCTCAGTTACTGAAGTACCAATCAAAGGTGAAGGGTTGTTAGAAATGAACCAGTCACTGACCAGGGCAGTGGAGACTGTATTAATAGCAATGATTTGTACAATGCCCTGCTTTCTATGAATCATTTACATGGACAGTATCTCATATTATCTCATCTGATCTCACACAGAAGACTACATTTGTTGGTGTCCTCAGTCAAAAGAACAGCTGCCTGGTCCTTGATAGTTGTTTGGTGGAGATTCTGTCACAGTCAGAAGCATTGGCTCCAGCATCACTGTCCTCCCTACATTTGTATTGGGTTCTATCTTGTAGACTCAAAAATGTGAACAATCTAGGGTCCTTGCCTTGAGGAGGTTTGCAGCCTGGTTCAGTTCAGTCTAATCACAGAATCAGGCAGCCAGGGTCAGAGGATCAGAGAAGGGAAGCCATTACCAGGTCCCAGGCAGTGGAGGAAGTCTCCGTGGAGTGAACTTGTTAGGAGCCTGAAAGCAGACATTCAGGCATCAGAGAGGGCAGGAGGGTCCTGGGGCCATCCCACTGTCTACCAGAACAAAGGCTGCCCTGGCATCAGACTTGCTCCAGACCTGTTCCAGAATGCCAGGGATTGAACTCAGAGCCCATGCCAAGGTGTCCAAGGTGTGACGGCAAACAGACAGTGTCAGTGTGGTGACAGGCCACCAAGCTCCAGGGACCTGAGGCCAGTTGCTGATCACTCAAAACTCATGACATTTACAGAGTGGTTCCATCACTCTGTTGTTGGATAAGCCTCTTTCTGTTGCCTGGGGGTTGGCAGATTGCTGAGACCAGCTCAATCGTGGAGACCCTAACCCAGCAGTGCTGGAGGAATTAAAGACACACACACAGAAATATAGAGGGTGGAGTGGGAAATCAGGGGACTCACAGCCTTCAGAGTTGAGAGCCCCAAACAGAGTTTGACCCACATATTTATTGACAGCAAGCCAGTGATAAACATTGTTTCTATAGATTATAGATTAACTAAAAGTATTCCTTATGGGAAACAAAGGGATGGGCTCTGCATCCCTAGTTATCTGCAGCAGGAACATGTCCTTAAGGCACAGATAGCTCATGCTATTGTTTGTGGCTTAGGAATGCTTTAAGTTGTTTTCAGCCCTGGGTGAGCCAGGTGTTCCTTGCCCTTATTCTGGTAAACCCACAACCTTCAGCATGGGCATCATGGCCATCACGAACATGTCACAGTACTGCAGAGATTTTGTTTATGGCCAGTTTTGGGGCCAGTTTATGGCCCAGTTTGGGGGCCTGTTCCCAACATGTCCCGCTTTTTTGTTTTCCAAAGCAATAAAAGCAAAGGCAGCTTTGTCACGGTGAGCTACTCTCAGGAGTTGGGATCCGTATCTGCAGACTATACAAAGACAAACAACACAGATTAAAAGCACAATCATCACTGAAATCACAGAGCTACCAAGTGTCTTTATCTATTTTAATGGGTTAATAGCTGCTAATCTGTCTGCAGCTCCTTCAAGCACTCCAGTTCCTGGCATTAAGGTCAGGTGTGCCCAGGATGCTTTAAATATTTGTTCTTTTAATTTTGCAATATCCAAAGACAAGTTTGTAGAGTGTCCTTCTAGATGCTTTTTTATTTTTTCCTAAATTTTGATCTTATTAAGAGTCATTAATAGTTTCCACAAATCCTTATGTTTAGCTTCTACAGTGGCCTTATCATTTGAGATTGAGGTGCCACTATACTGCCATGTTTCCAGATAATAGGAACTCTTGCCATATTTCTTACCCTTTCTAGCATCTGATGTTTTGTTTAGACCAGCTGAATGTACTGTGGCCGTGGCACACAGACTGAGAGGTGCAATTCAGCTAAACATCCCCTTAGGGGACTAATCAATAATGATTCCATAGGAATTGTTGTGCAGCACTTCTGCCTGTTCTGCTATGCAATCTTCCCAAACAAGTTAGTTCATTATTTCTGGCCAGGTTCAATTTTGTTTACAAATAGGTTTTTGAGGGTGGTATGCCTCAATTATAGGAGCAGATTTATTATGGTAAATACTGAGATCAGAAAGCATGTGTAACTGTGTCATACAGTGGTTACATCCAGGCATTATTGCCAGCCAAGATTGATAAATATGCCCAATAAGTATAATTGTTCTCTGTGTTGTTCCTTGTTGCAGGAATACTCATAGCAATGGTGATCACCGCTATCATAGCTATCATTAAATTACTCATTGTGACTGGTTGTCCCACTTTCCTCAGGTTTTCTTCCGCCATCTGTGACAGCTTCTTGATCTGTCCCCAGGTAGATGGCTGTGTTCGACAGCTGTTGCTTGTGATAGTTGGGGTCCTCCTCAGCGTCAGTCTTGACATGGCTGCAACCAGGGTCTCCTCGGGATCCTCCTGGAATCTCTTCCTCAGCATCTGGCTCATGATAAGGTTTCAGGTGTCTTGATGGCACCCAAATTGGCTGTTGATTCAGTCCTGAAGAAACACAAGCACAACCTCTACCTCAAGTTATTATTTTACGTATTTCCCAAATTTTTGTTATTGGATCTCTCCACCAGACCAGTTGTTCTGCTTCTGTCTTTGCAGCTGGTTTCTGTATATACTGTTCAGCTGCTGGCCTTTAGGCAGGCTCAAAAAATTTAAAGTCAATAATGCTAGAATCAGTTGCATATGGGGTGTCCCATAGTCCCTGTTTCTCCCATTTTGCTTTTGCAACTGCTGTTTCAGGGAGAGATTCATTCTTTCTACTATAGCTTGTCCTTGAGAATTATATGGGATGCCAGTAATGTGTTTAATATTCCATATAGAGAAAAATGTAGCTAGAGCTTGGCTAGTATAGCCTGGGACATTATCTGTTTTAATAGAAGCTGGAATGCCCATCACTGCAAAACACTGCAAAAGGTGACGTTTAACACAGGCAGAAGACTCTCCTGATTGGCATGTAGCCCACACAATGTGAGAAAAGGTGTCCACACATACATGTACATAAGCTAGTCTCCCAAACGAGGGAACATGTGTGACATCCATTTGCCAAAGATAATTAGGTTCCAATCCTCAAGGATTATTAACTCCTCCTGTAAAAGATGAGGAATCCACTATTTGGCAAGTTGGGCATCACTGGATAATAGCTTTAGCTTCTTTCCAGGTAGTGCTGTATCTGCGTTTGAGACTAGAGGCATTAATATGGGTTAAATTGTGAAAGTATCTAGCATTAGATATTGCATTAGCAACTAGGCAATCAGCCATTTGATTCCCTTCAGTTAAATGTCCTGGAAGAGATGCATGAGCCCTTATGTGAGTGATGTAAAAAGGATACATTCTACTCCTGCCTGCTGTTTGCAATTGGGTAAATAAAGTCATCAGTTGCTCATCTGTGTGGAATCATAGTTGAGCATTTTCAGTTGTGTGGAATGAACCATGTATGAGGAATCAGAAATCACATTAATAGGCATATTAAAAGCAGTCAATACCTCAATTACAGCTACCAGCTCCACTTTTTGAGCTGAAGTATAGGGAGTCTGAAGCCCTTACTTTTCAAGCCAGAATAAGAAGCTTTACCATTACTAGACCCATCTGTGAAGACATTTTCAGCACCTTCAAGTGGTTTGAATTTAGTTATTTTAGGGAGAATCCAATTAGTTAATTTCAAAAATTGAAACAATTTTGTTTTGGGAAAATGATTATCAAGAATACTCACAAAGTCAGCTACATGGGTTTGCCAAGTAAGACTATTTATAAAAGCTTGCTGTATTTGTGCCTTCATGAGAGGGACAATAATTTTTCCAGGATCATATCCATGTGATTTAACAATCTGAGTTCTCCCATTTCCTATCATAGTAGCGATTTGATCCAAATAAGGAGTTAGAGTCCATGAATTAGTATGTGGAAGAAAAGGCCACTCTACAAGATCTTGCTCTTGAACAATAACACCAGTAGGTGAATGGTGACTTGAAAAAATTAGAAAATCTAGAGTCTTTTCTGGATCTATTCTATTTATTTAAGCTTTATGGACTTGCTTTTTGACTAGCTGCAGCTCTGCTTCAGCTTCTTTTGTTAATAGCCAAGGGCTAGTGAGACTAGCATCTCCTCTAAGATTAGAAAATAGATTACTCATGGCATAGGTAGGAATGCCTAGAGCATCATATCCAATTAATGTCCCCTAGTAATTTTCGAAAGTAATTTAATGTTTTCAGTTGATCCCTATGTATGGTTACTTTCTGTGGCACAATGGTAGTGTCATTTACTAAGGTCCCCAAGTAGGAGTAAGGAGTAGCAGTCTGAATTTTGTCAGGAGCTATAATTAAACCAGTATGAGAAATCAAATTTTGCAAGTGAGCATAACATTGGAGTAATATTTCTCGAGTGGGGGCAGCACAAAGTATATCATCCATATAACGAATAATGTAACACTCTGAAAATTTTTTTACGAGTAAGTTCAATTGCTTGCCCTACATAAGTCTGGCAAATTGTTGGACTGTTTAACATGCCCTGTGGCAACACTTTCCAGTGAAAATGCTTAGCAGGCTGCAGGTTGTTTACTGCAGGAATTATAAATGCAAACCGTTCACAGTCCTGCTCAGCTAAGGGGATAGTAAAGAAACTATTTTAAATCTATGACTTAAAGGCCAATTTTTTGGAATCATAGCAGGAGCAGGCAGTCCTGGCTGCAATGTCCTCATAGATTGTATAACTGAATTAATGGCCCTTAAGTTAGTTAACAGTCTCCATTTACCTGATTTTTTCTTAATTATAAAAACTGGAGAATTCCAAGGGGAAAATGTTGGTGCTATGTGTCCTTTTTCTAATTGTTCAGTAACTAAGTCCTCTAAAGCCTCCAGTTTCTCTTTACTTAGCAGCCATTGTTCTGTCCAAATTGGCTTATCTGTTAACCATTTTAAAGGTATAGGTTCTGGAGGCTTAACAATGGCTGCCATAAAAAATGATATCCTAATCTTTGGCGGGAACTTTGTCTTTCCGCTTGAAGCAGTTCTTTCAAACCTTGCCAATTTTTCCTAGTCCCATACCAGGGACATACCCCATTTCGTGCATCATATGTTGACTTTGAGGGCTATACAATTGCTCTGGAATTAGAACTTGTGCTCCCCATTGTTTTAACAAGTCTCTTTCCCATAAATGTATAGGTACAGGAGTTATAATTGGTTGAATAGTCCCAGGTTGTCCATCGGGCCTTCACAATGCAAAATACAACTACTTTGATATACTTCAGGGGCTTTACCAACTCCAACTATGTTAAATTGAGTAGGTTGAATTGGCCACGTGGATGGCCAGTGTTGTAGAGAAATGACTGAAATGTTTGCTCCTGTATCTACCAAACCTTTAAATTTCTTTCCCTGAATAGTTATTTCACAGGTAGGACATTTATCAATAATTTGATTCACCCAATAAGCTGCTTTTCCTTGTTTATTTGTGCTTTCAAATCCTCCTGTTTGTTTAATTTCACTTTTCCCCATTTCCACATACAGCACAATCAGGAGTTGTGCTGTACGCTTTCCTGGCTCTGCTTTCCAGGGAAGAGAAGTAAATATAACAATTTGAATTTCCACATTGTAATCTGAATCAATAACTCCTGTATGTACTTGCACTCCTTTTAAATTTAAACTAGATCTACCTAGAAGTAATCCTATCATCCCCGCTGGCAAGCATCCACAGACCCCTGTTGTAACTTTTTGTGGGGGTTCCCCAGGCATAAGGCTCACAGCTTTTGTGCAGCATAAATCTACTGCAGCATTACTGGTGGGGGACAGACATTGTACAGGGGTGAGGGAGTGAGCTATAATATTTCCCTGTTGATCTTGGGGGTGTATCCTAACAGGGAACTGCCATGCTTCTATATCACCCTCTCGTCTAGCTTGCTGAATTCCTGCCTGAATAGAATTGAG